ACTAAAGCCCGAGTCCGCCACCGCTTCATGTCGAAGCGCCCAAAGCACTCGTCTGGTTCCCAAGACCCCGACGCCGATGAAGCCATCACCAAAGCTCTGCAGGAACTCGAGGAGACATCGCTAACAGCTCAAGCGGCAGTGGACGCCGACGCCATAGGGATGGCCGAACGCCACGTCGAGGCGGTCAAGTTGGAGTTATCCAGGGCCAAAAGCGCGGAGAGTCTACTTAATTCGATAGTGGCGGCTCCTCATGCCTGGCAACTTGCACTCCAAGCTTCCGAGGTGGTCGATCAGTTCGAAGACTTCATCTCGCTACACGCTCTGAACCGGCAATTGCTCCGCCTGCCAAACGCCAGCTCCAAGTCGTTTACAGCACGGCTCGCGACTGTCGATCAGTTCCACTCTGGGTCCCGCTCTCAACTCATTGCCTCTATCACAGCTGCGGCAGGGTCATCCGAAGAAGGTCGCATTGGCTGGCTCCACTCAGTCTCTTCGAGCTACTATTGATTCTTATGGCTACTCACACGTTTCGAGACGACTCGTGGCTCGCCATCTTCGGACCAGCTCCCCGTCCTTCTTGAAGCGTAAAGGGCTGCGTCTTCTGGCGGAAGCCACGCTGCGAGATCTGATCCACTCCAGCTACGGTGTCACGGTTGTCACGGAAAGCCTTCTTCGGCTGCCAGGCCTCGCCACTCTACTCGAGCTCTCTGGGTTGCAAGCTTCCGCCGACACGGTCTGGATGGACCTGACGCTGTCAGAGGTGAACCCAGCGACGGCCGACCAGGATATGGGCCCCGACCGCAGCTAAGGTCTTGCCGGACTGGCATAACCTCAGCGTGCTCTCCGCCAATTTGAACGGGATATCTCCAACTGGCACGGAAGTGGCCCACCTCGCCCGGCGCCATGCCATTGTGTGTATCCAGGAATCCAAGCTGCGTGATGCGTCTCAAGCCTCGACGTTGCGTTTCGTGGTGGAGGCTTCGGCCAAGCGCAAAGCTTTCATCAATGACAGGAACGAAAATCACTCGGGCTCAAGGACCACTCGTAGCGGTGGCATCGTGACGGTCATTGACCCCAGCTTACCCGGTTATCATCTGCGGAGGAACTTGTTCAGCACCGTCGCGAGGGCAGATACTCAATCGTACGACTGGTGATCGGGCCTTCGGTGGTGTATATCCACAACATATATGCCCCCAATGACAGCAGGGAGCGCAATAACTTCTTCGCAACGTTACCTCGGTCTTTCCCTGAGGATGTTGTCCACATTACGTGTGGCGACTTCAACTTGACGCTGAACCCCTCGCTTGACGCGCTACGACCCGCGTCAGACCCGAGCCAAGCTGAATGTCGGGACTGGATGACTGCCCTGGCACTGGAGGACTGTTGGCGGACCCATCATCCAGCGGACTATGTTTTCTCCGGGCCCACAAGGGCAAACAGGATAGACTACATCGCCGTCTCGGAGGACCTCTGCACTCATCAGTACGCTGACTCCGCGTACGTGAACCTGGACAAAGGAGGAGATCACCTCGGCGTCCAGCTCCAGCTAACCAGTTGGCATCATCCACGCGGTCCGGCTTCATGGTGAGTGCCCCGATGGTTACTCGACAACGAAGGTATCCGAGAGGAAATTCGTACGGCGGCCGCCGAGCTGCTGCGTAGCCTCCCTAGCTCTGACAATCCAGGCGTCCTCTGGTCAGCCTGGAAATACCGGGTCCGTAAGTACCTCCAACGCCAATGCAGTTTCCTCCGCGCGCGAAATCGTCATGTTCACGACGCCCTTGTCCGCCGTCTGGAAAGGCTGTCATCGCTGCGAGCAGTGGACTCCTCCCCAGCGGTGGCCATCGCATGGTATAGTGCCAAGCGCGACGTCGAACTCATGTTGGAGGAACGTGAAGTCTACAGGAGAAGCTACCGATTTGACTATTTAGCGACTGCACTGGAGACCAACTCGTCGGCCTTCTTTCGTCCACCGGAGCCTGCGCGGCGGGTACCGCTCGATCGCGTCGAGCTGCAGGATGGGACCGTATCCACGGATCCGGCAACCATCTACGAGACTTTCCAGCAGAAATGGGGCTGTATCTTCGGCGATAAACGATTTGTCACGGACTCACAAGACGTCGCTGTCGACCTGTCTGCTCAGGACCAGCTCGTCAATGCAGTGGAAGATGTGCTTGCACCAGCCGAGGCTCTGGACCTCGACAGCGAGTTCACCACAGAGGAATTTACAGAGGCGATCATTTCGATGCGGAGCGGCGGTGCACCGGGCCCCGACGGATTAACGGCACGCTTCTATCAAATCGCTCCAGACATCTTTGGGGAAGTTTTGGCTCGGGTATTCGACGGTCAGTTCCAGCGCGGCACTCTGTTAAGCCACCAGAACCTTTCCGAAGTCTTCTTGCTGCACAAGAAAGGGTCGAGAGCGCGTGTGGAGAACTACCGACCGATATCGTTGATGCCAGTGGAGGTAAAAGTGCTCTCCAGGGTTCTCGTCGAGCGCTTAAAGCCTCTGATGCACAAGTTGGTCCATGAGAACCAGCAAGGTTTCATCCCCGGTCGCTCGCTCCATCACCACCTGTTGTTGCTTTTGGACCTGCAAGCCTTCTGCCAGTCCACGGGTCAATCGGTGTTCGCCGCTTTTCTAGACTTCGAGAAGGCTTACGACCGAGTCGATTGGAAGTATTTGCTTCGTGTCATGGAACGACAAGGGTTTGGTCCCCGCTTCCTCAAGTGGATCCACATTCTTTACTCGAAACCAGCTCGCTCCCTCATGCTGGACGGCTGGAGCCAACCCAAATTATTCCCGTCTCGTGGTGTGAAGCAGGGTGATCCGCTCTCGCCGTACTTGTTCCTGCTGGCAATGGTCCCTCTGGGAGTGATGCTTCGTCGTCAACCGGGCGTTGGTATCCCTCTGCCTATGCGCCGCATTGCTACAAGCCTCTTCTTCGCGGATGACTCGTTGCTCCTCGCAGCGTCCATCGAGGGGGTACACGCCCAACTTTTGACAGTCCAAGTCTATTGCGCGGGCTCCGGAGCCAAATTAAATGCCTCCAAGTCAAGACTGCTTCCGCTGTCTGGCACCTCCGCCAGGATAACTTCGGCTCCGCTGCCGGTAGTCGCAGCCGATGAACGTGTTCGATACCTAGACATCGACTTCGGGTATAATGTTAACGCCGAGGCCACGGAGCGGGACCTTGACCAGAAGCTGAGTCAAGCACTGCGACGATGGCAGTATCGCGCCCGCACTTTCGAAGGCCGCAAACTGATAGTGACGACGATGGTACTCTCCTTGCTCTGGTACAAAGCCCTTCATCTCGTCATCCGTCCGACCACGATCCACAGATGGCAGCGCATGATCATTGACTTCGTCGTTTACAAGAAAGTACCACCCGCCTCAGCTCGGATCCGCCTTACCACCGCAGAATTGGCAGTGACTCCGACAGCGCAAGGAGGCCTCGGTGTCCCAGAACTCGCCTTGTTCCTCACGCGCCACAAGATGCGACTATTCCAAGAGTTTGCAGCGACGGTCGAATTGTCGACCACATCTACGATTCCGCTCTGGGCAGTTCTCCCCCTTTGGGCCGCCTACGGCGGTGAGATTTCACACTCGACCCGTCTCGACGACATATTCTACCTATCCGCCCGTGGTCGTCAACCTGGCCACGTCACGTCATGGTGGAAATGGGCGTGGCGCCAGTGGCATGAACTAGCTCCACGTATGCAACAGCCACCGATGCCCAACACCCTTCATCAACGCCGTCTTCTCCACGCGCCGCTGTGGTGCAGCATCCTGCCACGCTTGCAAATCCCATCAAGCTCACGAGACCATTTCGAACCTCTATCCGACGGACTGCCGACATTCCACGCCTTCTGCGATCAACTGGAGCTTCTCGGTTACCGATCTCTCTTCGACTTTCTGGAACCTATTGGAGCCACTTTCTCTCTAGCTGACTTCATGCACTGGTCTCTCGGCCGCCATGAACTGTTCCGGTTTCGTGATGCCCACGCTTTGTTGATGAGAGTCTTTCAGAGACTGTCCGTGGTGATCCACGCCATTACAGCCAGCACCGGTGGTCTACTCGTCGTTCTCCAACGTCCAGACTCAGTCGCCGGTCTACTCGGCGTCACGACACAGTCACGCTTTCGGTTCTTTCCTCATCTCCGCAAGCAAGATTGGACCGCGCTCCTCCGTCCTCCGACCTCGGCATGGGAGTCTCGAGCCAAACGCCTTCATTGCGCAGTTAGCGCGCTCAAAGGTCACTCCAACCGACTGGCGCTAGTCAAGCGATGGCCACCTACGACATCCAGTTTCGGGTGCTCCATGAGCTGATGCACGTGAACAGCAAGCGTTTCTTTCTCCAAACCGGACGCCGCGACCCGACCACCTGCCCCAGACAAGATTGCTACCAGCGCGAGAGTCTGGCCCACTGCTTTTGGCTCTGCTCACCAACTCAGCAGACGTGGTCTGCACTACGTCCAATCTGGTCCCTGCTACTCCGTTGCACGCCCTCCTGGTTGGGCTTTCTCCTCGGGACCACGGAGCTGCTTCACTCGAGCTGGGCAGCGCACCACGAACTGGCATACGGCTTGTGGCTGATACTCCGCGGCATTTTCATGCGAATCACCTGGATCAACCGAACCAACGACGCTTTCGGTCGGGAAGCTGCTAGCCCCAAGGTCATTGCTGCCGGCGTCAAGTCCTCCTTCATTGCCCATTTGCGCTCGCTCAACCGTCGACGCCACATGATCAAGGTCGACACAGCCACTCTGTACTCCTTCATCCAGCGCCTTGTCTCCGGCCCTGAGGATGACTCGACGAGCCGCTGCGCGGATACTCCACGCCCCAGAGTGCCGCTCTGGATCGCCCATCGTTAAGTTGCATATATTTCCGTACTTAGTCAAATCAGCTTCAAACGAGGTCCACCCGTAATAGAACTCCTTTCAAGTCAAGTCAAGTGTCCCGAACTTACGCGCGTTTGGTACCTTGAAAAACGATCCGAATGGAGGGGACAACGCTCAAGACGTGGCGGCTGGGCAAGAAGCTGGGCTCGGGCGCTTGCAGCGATGTCTACGCCGGTAATATACATTGCATAGTTTCTCTCGTATGCCCAATTCATGTGCTCTAACTCCTCTCCGTGCTCTTTTTTGCCGCCAGTGGAGTCGGTGAGCTCGCTGGGGAGCGACGCCGGCCGCGAGCTCGTCATGAAGCTCTCGCCGCTGCCGCAGCTGCCGGCCGCCAAGCTCAAGAACAAAAAGCGCAAGAAGACGCCGGCCGAGCGCAACGCCGACGCGCTGTACGCGGAGCACCTGCTCTATAAGAACCACCTGCGGGACCAGCCAGGCATCCCCTACGTGCCCATGGGGGCCTACGGCGAGGACAAGGTACTGCTGGCCCAACGCTGGTGCCTCTGATGGGAGAGATGTAGCCATGACTAATGAGAGGTGCTTCTATTGCGGCGACAGGGATACCGCTTCCTGGTGATTGAGCGGCTCGGCCGGACGCTCGAGACGGTGCTGCAGGAGCAAGGACCCGTGCCTTCAGCCACGGCGGCTCGACTGGGCCAAGAAATTGTACGTCCGAGGAGCTGGCATGTCCTGCAGGCTTGGGCTTGTCTAGCTGACGATGTGTATTTGTTTCTAGCTGGATACGCTGCAGCAGATGCACGTGAAGAACATCCTGTACGTCGACGTCAAGCCCGAGAACTTCATGCTGGACACTGACAAGGAGGACACAGTGTACTGCGTGGACTTTGGCATCTCGGACCGCTACGTCGCGGCGACGGGCAAGCACAAGGACTACAAAGAGGGAACGGTGGTGGGGACGCCGACGTTCCTCAGCCTGAACTGCCACAACGGGGCCAGTACGTCTCGTTGCTTTAGTAGTTTTGTGCCTACATTGGACTTCTGAACTTTTTTCTTCTGCATGCAGCTTCTAGCCGTCGGGATGATATCGAGTCGCTACTGTACGTGCTCATCTATTTGATGCGCGGCGATCTCCCGTGGCAGCAGGCTTCGAGTGATGCGGAGGGCGCCAAGATCAAGAAGAGCACTTCGGTGGACCAGTTGTGCGCTTCCCTGCCTCGAGAATGGGCCGCGATGCTGAAGAACATCCGCGAGTGCGGCTTTGAGGACCGGCCAGACTACGATTTCTTTGCTCAGCAGTTTTCAAAGCTGGGTGGCGAGAAGGGATTGACGACGCCGTTCGAGTGGGGCTCGCGCAAGACGAGCAAAGCGGTATGTCTGTCCACCCTATCAGTATCGTCATAGCCATGCCCTATTGCTGACGTTTTGGTATACAGGTTGCGAAGGTGGCTGCATCTCAAGACTCGACCTCCGACAGCCCCGTCCGCAAGCGCGTCAAGAGCGTCGACGAAGTTATCACGGCGCCTCCACCTGGCCCAACCAAGGCGAAGAAGACTGCAGCTCCCGAGAAGAAGAAAGCGACTCCTCGTCACAGCAAGGCGACAACCAAGAAGGCAGCAGTGGCGTCAACCAGAGCGAGGGCCGGCAAGGCGAGCAAGAGGGACGAGGAGGAGGCTGACGACGATGTTGAAGTTGAGGTCGTGGGGTGTGTGGCTCCGCACGACCGCGAGGTGTTCAAGGCCATCGCGGGCCACGCCGCCGCCACCGCCGCTATCAAGCGGTACAATCTACGCTCAACCCCTCGAGACTAATAGGACGAGAAGTGCATCAACAGCAAATTAATTACATACAATACAGTTTTATACTGGGATAGGAAGCAACGTTAGTGCTGCTATTGCAGACCAAATCGGAGTCAAAATATGACACCTCTTGACTGGGGCGTGCGGGTCTCTAAGCGGAGGTAAACGCAACGAAATGTTTGTTACTGTTGTGGTGTGGGCAGGCTGCGCCTTAGTGGCTACTGTTCTCTAAGCGGATAGCTTAGAGCCAGCGTCATTTCTTGTCAGACCATCAGTTTAATACATTCGGTACATTTTAATATGAACTAGAGTATCCAAAATCTCATGGTATTCGCAGTTCGAAGAACTGTCGATTGGGGAAGGTTTTTGGATGACATCGAACGACATTCACGCTACATTCGTCACTTCACCCGTGCGGATGACATCAAACAACATTCACACAACATCATACAGCAATCGATCGAATCGGCCTGAATGACACTTACAGGTACTGTAGATTGATGTCAGATGCCATCAGAGGAAGTGGGTTTGATGGATGTCTATCCTTTTTTTCCCCTTCTGCTCCATCTACTACTACGACGAACAACGTATTGTGTATTAGCGGACTACTACGACGAACAATGTATTGTGTACTAGCAAGCATTGTATTCTTTCGATCAATATGGGGCATCGGTGCTAATGATGCTAACCTTGGACACAACTGGTGCCGCCACATCACTGCATCGTATTATACTACTGTACATGCAGCTTCAAAGCTCTCAACATAGTACTTACTCATTCCATTAGCGGTAATATTATCGATTCGATCTGTTATGAGTCATAACTTATACCCTCCTCTTTCAGACACAGATTTTCTTCTGCATGCATAGTTTCTCAGAGAGAGATATTGAAAATCGTGTGGTCAGCTGAGTTTGCCGTGACATAAACTGTCGGCGGGCTGATATTGTATGCATCCCCACACTCACTGGAATTAATCCGGATGAATTATATAAAACATTCCACTAAAACATTGCAAAAAACTACTTAAAGTCCTAGGTTGTGCGATGCAAGATACGAAGTATACCTCGATTTTTTTTCGTTCAACAATTTTTTTTTAATCCGAACCCGACGTCCTATACGGTGACGAACGAATTCATACAGCAGAGACTCAAAAAGAGCTGCACCTGGTGGTACGTCTTCTCCGGGAAAAAGGCTAAAGGCTAGCTGCACTACTGTAGCTTAGGCATTTATTTATGAAGACTAGGATGATTTAAGCTTGTCTTGTGTGAGACTACAATACGACCCGCAGAGATCCACCGAACTGGTGGTGTAGAATGGTCTACTACTTGATCCTGTTCTTGTCAAAACAAGTTCAAAGTACATTGTTACCGACATTAGTTCAGATCATCCTAATGCTACATGCATACAGTACCTTCAGATTAATACTTGATCAATGGCAATATCACACTTGGACGAATCGAAGCTGACAGTTTTTTGTTGTTGTTAGATCTTCAGGCAACCAGGACAAAATATGTGTGCGGCTGCACCATGTTTTATCAAACAGAGTTTGAATGCTCCTACGTTGTCGCTGTACGCCGCGCATCCTGTGCGAGAGGAAGCACCGGGCGGACATCGTCAAAGCGAAGGACGAACACCCGGTGTATCCTACTCCTACACGCGATCGAAATCTGCTAGACCTCAGTTTTAACTCATCAAACTTGACACAAATTGCTGGCTTCATCGGGTTATCCTGCAAGTTTGGTTGAGCAGTTATCCTGGCAGCGCTAATTATTCGAATGCACTGTTTTTCTTGTTTTTCTTGTTTTATCGTCACCTGTAAGTTTCCGAGCACACACTGCAATCTAAACAATAAAGGATTTTGCCTGGGCATCAGCGCACATTTCAGTAGCAGGAAGGAAGGAAATTACGTTGATTACCTCGCTGTTGATAACCGTTCTACTAACTACAAAGAACTAAAGTTAAAACTAAATCCGTGGAGCCCTCATTCGACGAGCAGGATGAGGTAGAATCATCACGGTGGGTTTGTCAAACCCAATCGTTGAAGTACGAATTCGTTGGAGTGACGATACATGTATATGAACTGGCAATGCCTTTGAAAATAAGCGATCAAACTTTGTACACTTGGTTGTACCGTCGTAGATTAGGCAGATGCTGCGGCTGCGAAGCAGGCGCAGGGGATGCCCGAGTACATCGTTTCCCTGTATCCGTACAAGCTAGCTTCGAACTGCGAAACCCCCCGGGTCCACCACCCGGGTCCACCACCCGGGTCCACCACCCGGGTCCCCAATTACCGGTATATAGTGTGCGCAGGTACACGTCCACAGTTACCATGAAAACCCAAGGGAACCGTGGATGTTACCGTGTACCAGAATCTGGTAACACGTTTCCTGCTCATGAGACCCCCTTCGCCAGGAAGCCTGAAAGGACCCGATAAAATGTTACAGGTGAAGCTTTGGGATCTTGACTTCAACATTGCTTTTGAAGACGAGCTTTGACCATGCGTTGGCTATCGTGGGATAGATAGATAGCCTTATGCGGTAAATGATCTGTGCGGTAAAGCTATTCATAGTCGAGCACTGTTGTAATATTGCCTCATTCCTCGATTTTCTTCAGAAGCCGCACCCAGTCGTCTACGTACACGCTAGCACTTCCTCTTCGTCAGTATCGCTGTTTCCCCGTCTCCAACATAACAACGATGCTTGGCAGACTCCCTCGGGTACTTCGACGTCGCCAACAGCAGGGACAAAAGGGACCAGGCAAGGTCTAGTGCCGTTGGCAAGTCTGGTTGACGAGCGATCGTTGTAGACGAAGGAGATAGCAACAGCGACGAGGAAGTGGGGTAGACTGATGATGAAGGCGGGTGTAGCATTAGTGAAGCCGACGTGGAGAGCTATAGCGCGACATTCCAAGCCTACTAAATATAGGGGGTAGTAGGTAACTGTGCCCATTGTGAACCAAGCGGTACCAATGTTACTGTTACTGTGTACCTCGCCGAGGAAACAGTGGATCTGCACACACTACCGGTATAAAGCAGCGCAGCGTCCGGATCGATGCTTTTGACGTGCAGATGTAGTTCGTAAAAATAGAGGTATTTTACTAGGTGCGGCTCGCGAAGAAGTCTCGTTGGATGACATTATACTGGGTTGCAACAACTCACGCACCATGGAGTACTGTAGACCTTGACAGTTTTCTTCCTGATCGTGGGGTGAGCAAAAAAAGATAGTAACAGAAATAGCGATAACAATATCAGTTTCAAAGTCAGTAACTAATAGCGGTTGCAGTAGCGGTGGTTTGACAGTAGGGCAGTTGCAGTGGTAGCTGGCAGTGATCGTGACGCAGGCGAACAATTCCAATAGCAATATACCGAATAAGAATTATTAATACGTCATATTGATATTACTTACGGAGCAATACAAGTCACACACATTATTTGGAAAAGAGGAGAGTGATTTACAAGGGTCTAGAGGACGATAAGATCATCGATAATGTTTGGGTCGCGTCGTTTTCACCACGGTGGACGGCGATATTCAGATGGCATCTACTTATAAATTTAGTTTGAGCAAGCCATGAAATGCCCCGTGATATTATGCAGCAAGTCAAGCAGTATGGAGTAGATTTTGGCAGTCTTTCTCAGGCATGAAAAAGAAAGCAGGAGCAATATCATTACAGTGCCATTATCAATGCTGAGATCGTAGTTGTAGCGTAAATAACAACGGTAGCGGTAGTGGCAGCAGATAATAAACAGTCGCAGTAGCGATAGCAGCAGATACGAACAAGCAATATTAATGACAACATTACTATGACATCATTAACAGTAGTGAAATAGTAGTTGTAGTAGCTGTAGTACAGCTGCTCCAGCTGTAGTTGCAGTAGTGGTAAGCAGTTAGTGGCTGTGGCCAGTAGTAACGCGCGCCACAGGTAGCATAACAAATGCAATATCTTTAACAATAGTGGAATATGAGTAGTATAGCAATATAAGTAGTGATGAGGTAGGAGTAGCAGCAGCAGCGATAGTGCCAGTGTCAGTGACAGTGGCTGAAGCAGTGGCAGTAGCAGTGACAGTAGCAGCCGCAGTAGCTGTAGCATGGCAGTGGTGGCGACAGTGGCAGTTGCAATAAATACCAATTGCAACATGATGTTGTCAACATCAGGGCCCCTCCAATTCAGTATTATACTGAATTGGTAAAATTGCTAGACAGTAATAATGATTTAAATATGACGATAACCACAGCTAATTATTATACTGATTAAATATTTCAATTCCATGCGCCGTGACAGTGTTTTTGAATACCCTGAAATTATACGAGCCAACAATTCAAATTTCAATATGGCGCTTGCCAATAACACATATTTTCGTCATATTAATTGACAATTTTCATATTGAAAGTTTTTATTCATACTTCTGGTCAACATCAATTATAATAGTATGAAAATTTAAGTTTCTTGTAGTAATATGAAGCGTTTCATGTATAGTACTCACAAAAATATTGGTGATAATGTTAATAACAGTAACAAGTGCAGAGGCGCGGCGCGTCCTAACCGTTTTAGTAGCAAAAATCACAAAATTGTTCGGTCCGCTTAGAGACCCGCACGCGAAGCGCGCCCCAGTTAAACCACGCAAAAATATGTTGGCTTAAGTTTTATTCTAAATCCGAAAACTTCGTTAAAAGCATCGATTCCGACGTTGCTGTTGCTTTATACCGGTAATACCAGGCGATTTTGAATATTCTACTTCATATTAAAAAGTACCGAATGTTTAAAACTGATGGTCCGACAAAAAATGACGCTGGCTCTAAGCTACTACTCTGGCCCACTTAAGAAACAACATTCGGCATTAAACCTCAATTTGATGTGAACCACATGTCACATATGATTGGGTATAATCAACTGTTTCATCTTACTATTGGCCAAAATAAATGGGTCTGCGCATGTCGAGATGATCGCGTAGAAAACCCTCAAAACTGTAGTCCTTCTAATTCGTCTCCAACAGGCGCTACAACATCGACAGCCGA